AAAGTGTCCGATCATGTGAAAATCACCCAGAAAGGTATGTGTGTTTTTATTCGTCTGCTTTTTTTAAAAAAAAAATCTTTTTGAAAGAAACCAGAAGATCTGTGAGCTGGAGGACATCCCAGAGGATGTTCAAAGTTCACTAGCTTGACCTTGGAAACATTTCTTTTAGGAATCGGGCCTTTTATTTAGAATTATTTAGCTCAGATGTCAGGACATTTGTGGCATCTGACTTTTATTTTCAGTAAAAATCTGCTCAGGTTGGTGCAGAAGTCAGATTTATTTCAGTTAACGGCGTTACGCCGATTCACTGGGACACACACTGCTTTTAAAATAGAGCATTTATTCCCCCAAAGGCACCGATACAGGATCAATACACACTAATTAATCCTGGTTTGTTCATGGGAGCCATCGGCCTGAAAGCAAACAAACAAATGTTTGTTTTTTTATGTATGTGAGTGACAAATTCGGGGGTTAAGTTGGTAAATTTCTGACAAAAATTGTAAACAAAAAATTGCTGAAATATATGGAAAATATGCGGATAAATATAAAGATAAATATCCCACCCAAATATTGGGGAAATCTGCTGATGTGAGAGATCCTTTGGGGAGGTTTGGTGATGTCAAAGGCAGTAGGTGGCCGCGCAGATGCCCGATCAAAACGTCGACATAAGTGCAGAAATGACATTTTTTATTGTGAAATCAAATTAAAAGAACGTTTGTTTTCAGACTTGGAGCAAGACGGTTTCTGCAAAAACCCGTTTTTTCATGGGATCGTCGCCGAGGTGCCGGAGAAGCTCAGATCCAAAGACGGTGGGTGAGACGCACCTTTGTTGGGAGGTGGTGGGCAAAAAGGTTTATTTTCTGGGTGGAAAAATGGGCTTTTAAACTGATTATATTTAGAGGAAATGGAGACTGTGGTCATGGCATCATCTGAAGTAACACATTCATGCATTTGTCTTTAGTCAAAGTAAACTTAAAATTTAATTAAGTCATAAACTTAAATAAATAAAATAAATGTAAACTTAGATTAAATTATTAAAAAATCTAATATATAAATAGATGGATTCAAATTAAACTACAAAAAAGTTCATTTAGTTTCTGAGTCCATCATTAAGGAGATCTGTGACCGGTCACTGCGTGGTGTCTTTTTTCTGGTTTTTGTTTTAATCCCTTTTATTAATGCTTTTATTTTGGTGAAAACGTTTACCGTGTAAACAGATCTGAGTGCCCCGACGCAGTTTCCTGCTCCTTCTGACACCCCGAACGAGCAGTTTGCATCATCAGAAATCACAAGACTGGCACATTTAATACATGTTGCTAAGAAAAAGAAAAATAACTTTAAAACTATCGATGCTTAGCGTTAAAACACAAAGTTAAAAGAAGAGGTGAATAAATACAAGCTGGTAAAAGAGGAAAAACTAGATTATATATTCAGAAGTCCAAGAAATAGTCAGGGTCTCACACTGGGTCGAAGGCCGGGGGGTGAAAGTGTGTTTTTTTTTTATCAGAGAGACTTAAAATCGCTGCCTGTAAATCATCTCAACAGCTTTGTGCAAATCTGTGTAACCTTTGAGTCGTCTGAGACTTTGGAACGACTAAAACCGTCCGGTTGAGGGTTTTTATCACTTCCAGGAAAAGGCGGGAACGGTTTCCCATTAATATGCAGGATATACGGAGCAATTTGAGTCCTAAATATAATCTAATATTCCCTAATATTCCCTAATTTGACTCCCACCGGCCTCCTCTGGGGGTTTTAGTGTTTGGAGGCCTCTGGTCTGACTTTTTCCCACTCAGTCAAACCAGTTTCCACCGAATCCCGATCCCGATTTAATTCCGGGAAGCGTCTACGTCGGTGTGTGTGTGTGTGTGTGTCTTATACGAACCCCAAATTCCAAGAAAAGAGTTCAAAGGTCAAATACACTGTTGCATCAGCATCAGAAGACACGGATTTAAACTCATTGAAGAAGAAGATGGAAAAAGAATAAAAAAGCCTGAAAGTCAACATTGAAAACCATCCTGAAATCTAGCCATTAGCAGCAAAAAATTATTAGTTATAAATTATTATTATCATTATTAGCCAATGTAAGTCTGTAGATTTCATTAAAACGTCATAAAAAAACGTAATTTTAAATTAAATGGAAGCTGAAGCTTCAAATGTTTGCTTTAATTTGATCATTTTTTGTAATAAAAAGTTAGTTCTCCGCCTTTAATTTCTATTATTATTATCATTATTAGCCTATGTAATTCTGTAGACTTTATTAAAACGTCATATAAACCTTAATTGTAAAGAAAATGGAAGCGGAAACTTAAGATGTTTGCTTTAATTTTATGATCTTAGTAATAAAGAGTTAGTTCTCCGCCTTTAATTGCTATTTAATCTGTTATGTTGCTACCAATACATTTTTTGGTCCAATTATAATGTGTAATATTTTTTTTAATTAATTTTTTATATGCGTCTTTCTACATCTTCCTCAAATGTTTGTTGTAATTAAGAAATCTGGGCAGCGTTATGAAGTAATCAGGCTGGTAAACAGAACCCATTTCCAGCCTTTAAGGGCAAATTACTACTATAAAATTGAAGTTTGGTGTGTGTGTGTTCTGTTATTAAATCATCAGGTTTAAAACCAACATGGCCGGGATTATTAACCCTTTAAAGCCTGATCCAAGAAAAATAGGAAGAATATTGGATTTTTTAAGTCTGAAGTCTTTCTTTGGCCCCTCAACAACATATGAAGAAAAAAAACGGGAATTATTTTGATCAAATTAGCGTGCAATAAGTAAAAAATATATTTTGGAGTAGTCTTCTACTCGTTATCAGGTATATCTGAATGTGTACAACAGGGGTCTGAGCAAAGCTTTTACCATTGAATGATGCAAAAAGTCTCAGATCCAAAATACTTCAGAAACCGTATGAATAAAATATGATACATTTGGCATTATAGGGTTAAAGAGCTTTATGGTTTGTAAATCTCTCTCTACAGGCCACACAAAGATCGGCTACGCTCTGTACTTCTACTCGTACAGCTCCTGGTCGGGCCGAGCCGTCTACATGGAGGACCTGTACGTGATGCCAGAGTTTCGAGGTACAGGTTACACGTGCACTTCACGTGCACTTCACGTGCACTTTACGTGCACGTTACGTCTCTTTGAACACAGGATGCCTCAAGTTGAGCCTCTTAAATCTCTTTTTTTTTTAGGAAAGGGCATTGGGAAAGCACTTATGAGCAAGGTGGCACAGGTGAGTGC